GTTAATTTCTGTGAGTGTCCTAAGCGATCCCTAGTGTTTTCTATCCCCTTCAGGGGATAGTTTTCCAGCCGTCGTCTTTGGAAAAGGCGAAACAGACTGGAAGAAAGAAGAAGGTGGAGGAGCTAGCTCAGCGTGAGGCAGAGGAGAAGGAGAAGTGGGAGAGGAGGGAGGCGAGTAAAAAGGTCATATTGGAGGAGGATGGGACGACTAAAATGAGATTTACGTTGTGCATTGGGTGAAGAGTACTTACCTTCGAGATGATACAGCCTGATGGGACAGCTGGAAGCGCCTATGATCTGAACGTGTTCATGGTCAGTAAACCGCTCGTGCTGGGGCACAAACGTATCGAGTGCTAACACTGACATTCGAGGCCTCCGTCGAAGTCATCGTTATACTCCAAACTATATAAGAAGGCAAGACTGCTCCAGTTGGACACGGGCTCATTGTCAATGACTGGCGGGTTGTCGGACACGCTCCCGGTGCTGAAGACACGTTGACCTACAGGATAAATGAAGTTCGTCTTTTATGTTCCAATTCACTGGGTTGCTATCTAACTCATCACAGAATTCCTATTCTTTGTTCCAAGCCGACACCTCGTCCTATGCGACAAAACTGCCTCCAGCGTTGTCCGCCTCCGCACTAAACTCCTGAGTGCTTTCCATGACTGCGCAGAGCTTGATCGATGTCATGCCCTTGTGTCTGGTACAAACGCAGGTAGGTCCGACGTTGTTTGAACTTTGACGTACCTTATGCAAAACTCGTAGCTTTATATCAAGACGTGTTTATTGAGCTTGGGAGATGTTTCTTGGCATGATATTCACCCCATACCTGAACGGGCCAATGCGGGCATTCATAAGTTTGGTGTAGCCGATATTCGCGCGATGTGCACTCGTCTTCAAGTTGCGCACCCAAAGTAGCATTTGACTCCGGAATAATGAACACACTAGAAACAATGGACAATTCAATAAATAGATCTAAGAATGGGTTATGCATCGGTTCCTGTGGAAGTGTAGGACATTAGAGTTGGTCTGAACGATACAGAAAGTAATTTTTTCCAAGTGCTACATACTATTCTATTCTATGACCTGAGTATGACGGCTTCCAAACGGCTTCGCACGATTTCCGAGAAGTGAAATACTAGCTATCAAGCTGCTTCACATATGAATCTGATTTACGGTTAATTACATGATGAGGTTGCTCAAACTTATTTGTACCCAACTCGCATTCCGCAGTGGTTGTGGTTTATCTGTGGCGTGAAATAGTCTGAGCCAAAATCATGCACATGCGGCGATTTGGCACAATGATGAAATACAGCAATCCCAAATTCTATAAGGTGTTCCATGCAATTCAGGTGGACAATGGACTTAATCTTGCATGTCCGCATACTTGGCTCATAACTTAAATCATTTCCTGGAAGAAAATCTGAACGATCGTAATAATTACAGAGGACCTCAAAGCTCATAACGCACTGATGAGCGCAAACCGAGGAAAACGAAATAACGCATATACTAAGTGGGAGGCATCGACAACTCATTTGGGGGCATGAGAGGTGGCCAGATAGGGGAATTCATTTGGTGATACATACGAAGACCACGTCACGTCATTGGTAGTGTTTGAAAGTCCGGTCCGGTCCGGTTATTGAGCCCTCAAGGGCTCTAACCGAGACCGAGACCGGTTACCTTGTGCCACGAAACCCAAAATAACCGAACCGGACTGCTACTAACCGATTATATCGGTTAGTAACGGTTAGCGGTCGGTTACATGACCGGTCCTAACCGGTTATTTCTCTGTACTAACATAATTACAAACCTATATTATATTTCTAATACAAGCATTATGCTGCATGCACCAGCGAGGCGTGTGTAGGTGAAACACCGCCTCGCACGATTTTCATAAACAACCTCGCAGGTCGAGTACACCCGACCTGCGAGCGTTTCTCATGGATCGCCATTGTTGTATCAATGTCACATTATCACACATGTGACGACAGGAAAATAGTCACTTAAATTTCAATTCACCGTAAATATGTCAATTCTCCACTAAAAAATATGATTTTTGGATCGTTAGAAAGCGTTTAAACAGGGGAATATTTGTGTGTAACGTTAGGACACAAAGACCGGTTATAACCGGTCCTAACCGGTTTTTGTTTGGTCTTGAATATTTTGGGATGACACCTAACCACTAACCGGACCGCGGTTACGGTTAGGATCGGTTAGGTAATTTTTGCGGTCCTGATCGGTTACGGTTCGGTCCAGTCTCGGTTATTTTCCGGTTAACTAACTTAACTTCCAAACACTAGTCATTGGCGTGGAGAGGGAATTCACAAGATGAATGGGGGATGACAAATTTATTTATGAACTGTAAAATCCTTCCCTGAAAAGAAGCTAAATTATTACAGTAAGTTCACCTGTGTGTAATCATACTGACCATAGGGATCAGGAGCACAAGTGCATCAGTCCGCAAGCAGTCGGAGTAGTCATTGTAGAAAACAGTCTAAGGAAGAAAACCGCCGTTCCAATGATCGACTCCACGTTTCAATATACTGAAAAAGCTGCACTCACACGAATTTTGACGAACAGTGGCATGGCCCACCTGAAGTACTCCCGATAGTGCCTATTTTCTAACACTGGCCTGTCAAAGCATTGCATGAGGCGGCTGAAGTCCCATGCATGCAGGGTGTCGACGTACGTCAAGAAGGCCCCCAGGTATGGTGAAGGCGTCGACGGCAAGATGAAGAAGTAGTTTGGTGATTGTCCTGGGTCAACCCCAAGCGGGGAGACCCAGGGGACGCCCACCCCTACCAAAATGCCGCCTGTTAGAACCGTAGTCACTGGACGAGTTCACTCACCAACATAATGGAGAGGTCTCCTATGATAGTGACTGAGCCCCTCCACAAAAGAGGCGATGATGACAGTCAACCCCGCCTCCAACCCCAACAGCCAGATAGACGATCCAGGCATCGACGGCGAGACGAAGGAGTGGTTTGGCGATTAGGCAGGGAGACCGGGATACACCCACCCCTACTGGAACCGTAGTCACTTCGGTAGAAACCATAAGACAGTGAGACAAACTGGTACATGGTAGCTTTTGCTCCTGCTTTCTCGGCGCTGGCTTTCTCAGCTTCGGCCACTAGTCGTCAGCCGATAGGTCAGTACGACGATGGGCGATGAAGCAGTAGAGGAACGTACACTTGACGACGTGGCCATGCATGCTGTAGATGATGATACCTACGATAACAGGAGCCATAGTTTGCTGCGTCAATTCCGAAGTTGTCAACATCTATGTGGAAGCTTTTCGCCGTGAGTTTGCTGAGTGGCCTGATGATGAGATTTACCAGGGGCTACCGTCATCTGAGATCTCGGAAAGGGAGCAGCACTGCCGCTAATGATGTTGCGATGGGAGTCAGCTTCATTTACTACCAATTGGACAAGTTCACTGACCGATGTATAAACGGCGACGTGTCCTATGATGGTAAGCCGCTCCACAGAAAATGCGACTATGAGAGTCAACCGCGCCTCCAACCCGTAAGTACCACTTTTCGTTACCTCTTTCAAAAGCTCACAACCTCTCCCAGCTTCTCCATGTGAACTGCCGCCTCTCTGTAGCGTATCCGCTCATTGCCCGCACTCCGGCGTCCTTGCGGCGGCATTTACGCATTGGATTTGAGTGTTGAGTCTTCTTGTGCTTGTTGTCATCGTCTTGCTCGTCTTCTCCCGTGTCGTTTCGGTTTGTAGTAGATAGAAAAACGAAATCTAATACCCTTTTTTAGCTGAAAAGTTGTGTAAAACATAATGTGGTACACTGGTACTCACGTTGCGTGAAATTGCCGACACGTCGACAAATGCGTCAGTAGACAGATGATCCAAAAACTTGGGGTGCGCTCGACGACGAATTCCTAAAAGGGAGACAATGGAACTCGGAAGGCGGATTCATAGAGGTCGAGCTCGGAGGTGGTGTGGCGACCTCCCACATGGCGTCAATCAGACAACGACTGCTCACAACCAG